ATCTATCTATCTATCTATCTATCTATCTATCTATCTATCTATCTATCATCTCTATTTCCCCCCCAAAAAAACATATGATAATCTATACCCAAAATATTGCTCCAGAAATGTGTTTCAACAATGTCTTACTATTGTCTTACTATTTATCATATTTAAACATGATAGTGTTCCATCAAATGGCTAGTAGCTTTCTGTTTCCATTCACAGAAGGATATATTGTAGAAGACATTTCATGTCTCTTGTAAGCACAGTAAACATATCTCCTTTCAAACCAGATTTACTTCAATCAAATGCCATTTTGATTTCTAAGAACCTATGCCCAATATTAGACCTATACAAGATCAAAGAAAATGTTAACCTCTTAGTGATTCACAGAAATGATTTCCGTGCACTTTCCTCCAAAGTGAAAATGAATAGAGGAAAGTAAGTAGTTATGGGACTGACATCAGGGGTCAATGTAGCAGGTCATTTAACAGAGTGATTTAACAGCAGCAACATGGTATGACAGCAGGAGGACCATTCTTGATAGAAGCAGGGAGAAAAGGGAGAGTGTTCACTTTTACTGATAGTTTAAATTGTCATCTGAACGTTGGGAAATAATTTTGTAACAGTCTGAAGCAGAAAGAGTAACAAATTTTAAATTGTATTTAATTACATTTTTAGAAAATATATGCACACGGTGTCCCTTAAATAACCCTACAATTGCTTGGAAAATGTTTCATTTTCTTTTAGGGAAAATGTTTCATTTCTCTTTTCTCAAAATTTGCTGGGATATATGTTTCCCTGTTCCTCTACAGCAGGAGTATCAAACTCATGGCCCACAGACTGGATGGGTCATGTGCTGGCCACACCTAGGCTTGGTTTAGCGAAGGGGTGGGAGTCACGATACATCATGTGATGATGCCATGATAATGCAAGTTTAACACTCCTATTCTACAGTTTCTTTTATATTTATCTAGATGCTCGGTTTTCATTTTCTCCTTCCTAGGCCATCAATGGGTTGTATGGATAATCATGGTGATGGTGATTTTTAAAGCAATTGCCAACCCACAGAACACATAGCTCCCTGGAAAACCAGGATGAAATGGCCGGCCACAGAAAAGCATTGCAGCCAATCAAAGCTGGGAATGGAATTAGAATGAAGAGAAACACTGGAGACAACCCTACTCTGAAATGATTAAAACAGGTCAGGAAACAGCAGCAGCTCTGAATGAAATCCTGAAAACACAGGTCATTTGCAATAGCTGAGAAATAGAAAAGGATAATATCACCTACTTGTTACAGAATAAACTATAACAAGGAACCTGTTGTGTTAATGGAGTCTCATTTCCAGATTTATAATGATGAAAAATTAAAACTCTGTAGGGAGCCTAAACGGATAAGAAATATTTTCCACTGCAAATGTTTTTGCTCATGTGAAAAGTACTGATAATAATACTAGGGAATGGAATGGAATGGAATGGAATGGAATAGAATAGAATAGAATAGAATAGAATAGAATAGAATAGAATAGAATGACAGAGTTGGAAGAGACCTTGGAAGACGACCAATCCAAACTCCTCTCAGTCAGGAAGCAAATGGTTGTCCAATCTCTTCTTATAAACATCCAGTATTGGAACATTCACAATTTCTGGAGACATGTTGTTCTCATTAATTGTTCTATCAGGAAATTTATCCTTAGTTCTAGTTTGAACTCAATTTGTTCTTATTTTCCAATCTCATAGGGTCTTTATATAATAAAATGTATAATGCTAATAGACCATTAGACCAATTTTAGATCAGGGCAATATTTAAATAAAGAAGATGGCTTTGTGCATATCATGAAACAGATGCTGTGGAGAAGCTACTACAAGATTTCCTGAGAGTATCTTCTCCTGTGTGTTAGGGTCATTAGGACAACATTGCTCATAAAATGGCTTGTACAATTTTCTCTATAGCACTGTAAAAACCTTCTTTCCCTCTGCTTTTTCCATCTTTGATAGTGTAACTATTGCTTAGGAACAGCTTGCAGTATAGAGGGAGCCATCATGGGGAGCAATATAACATGTTCTGAACTCAACGTATGGTGGCTGTTTAAGTACACTCACCCTGACTTCAGGTCTCTAAATACTCTGATATTTAGTCTGACTGCCAAACCTACTGAGAAGCCAGATGTCCTGTCTAAAAATAACTCATCTAACTTGCCTCTCATGGTCAACAAAATTGGAGATCAGGTGCTGAAATAGATTTGAGTGCAATATAATGGGTAGTTTTATTTCTTACTATAATAATTAAGATCAGTAAATCATAGGCCTGGGATGCAGCTCTCTGTCATCAGAGAGGAAAAATATTAATTTCATAGTTATAGTATTTTGTTATACAAGATGTAATTAGATTGTACTTGACTGGAGTTTCTCGGCGGCATTTGCAATTTTGCTACCATATTAAATTATTTAAATTATGAATATTTTAGAATTTGGGAATTCAAATATACCTTAATAATATGAACAGGCCAATTTCTAACCCAAGACAAGTGATAGAAACTGTTTTACCAAATTTTCAACTCAGCCTAGTGTTATTTTATACTTATTGTCATCACTCACAATTAAGTTTT